TCGAAGATGAGAAGGATCCGTCAAGAAATGGCTGAGTTATCGAAAAAATTGTCATTTTTGACCAGACCATCCCTGAGGGGGGATACAGGGATTTTTTCAAAAAAAATATTTTTCTCCGAATTATTCACAACATATATAAATCGACTCAGTTTTTAACGCTGATTCCGAATCTGATATTAGTTTTGAACCAAATCGTAGCTTTCCAACAAAACATTGACTGAAAAGGTCTAAAAATGCAGAAAAACTGCATCCAGAAAGCAAATAGGCTAGACATGTCTCAGATGATAAAAAACAAAGTGAATATACCTGTTCACTTTTTCAAGTACACATAACAATCGGATTTAAATCCGAGGTTTTCGCACTTATTTAGCTGAAGTCTCGAATTTCTAGAAAAGACAATATTATTTCTCTTGTTGTTTTTTGTCAACATTTCATTTATATGTCATTGAAAATTATTATAGACTAAAATTTAATAATGTAAATCTATTTCTGCTTAGTATTAACAAATATTACACAAATAAACTTAGTCATTTCAATTCATTCATATGGCATATTATCACAAATAATTTTATTACAAATAACAAAATAACATAAAGGAAATTCTCACTGTTAATTAACATTTTTATAACAAAACAAAAAATTTTAATTTGATCATTAGTGGATAAGTGAAAGAAACAAAATAAAAACAAGGTAAAATGATCTATCGATCAAGGAAGTATATTTGCTTCTTGACAACTATCTTCAAACCACCATTTATGTATATTATCAATAATATTTGGTTTTGAATCAAGATGAAGACGTAAACAAAGATCACAAAATGGAGTAAAAAAATGATTTAAACCCCAAACATAATCTTTTTTCCATGAAAAATATGATAAATATTTTTCTTTATTATAACGAGTTTCATTAAGATGTTGAGCTAATGAACTCATAGTAGAAAATTGCCTTATATCAATATATCCAGATGATGGAATAAAATACGAATAATTTGTTCGTCCTAATACAACTGGTACAACTGGATGTTCAAGTGCAGCAAAGAATTTCTCAGCTAGACAAAAAAACAAATTCTCATTTTTTTTATTATGAAAATCTATTTAATAAGATTCATCAAAAGCAAAAATTTCAACATCCTAATATTTCAGCATGTTGGATATAATCCCACCAAGCCGATCATGAATATCATCATCAAAAACCGAACATTTTTCAAGAAACTTTAACATTTCGTACATTGAGAATAATGACAAATATTTGAAATCAGTTTATTCGGATTCAGCATGAAAAAAGTAAGTAGAACCGTGTAGTTACAAGAATATTTTATCGTTCAATACGGTCCGTCAGTCAACACAATGATCACTTATTCTGCAAAATCTATTTAGTCTTTTGTTTGAAAACATCTCTTCAATCTCTATATATCATTCGAACCGTGAAGTAAAGGTGAAAGAAATTCGTATAGGTGTGGAAAAATATCGTTTCCTTGTTGAGAAAATCAATTCTTTTGAAATTGATAGCAAAAGGTTAAAGAAATGCACATTTTTATCAAATACATCGTTAGTAAAAGATAATATTTGTCACGGACAGTATTTAACCTTCTCAAAAGCTAAATAACTGGAAAAAAGAAAATTAAATTATTTTGTCAAATTTTTTAAAGTCAGTTGCTTATGTTAATGTTTGAATGATTTTGTTCACAATGAAATATACCATTGATATACTTAACTTGAAATTGATAGAAAAAACAGTAGTTGAATACACATTCAATGTCTTTTTTGTGTGGCTGTTTCGAAGAATGCTTATAGATCTTTTTATGAAAAGAATTATATTTTCAGGCTCACAAAAAATACGTCATAAAACAAACTTTGACATGTATACATAAGCATATGTTGTCTTCAATTATGAATGTGCTTTTTTTTAATAAAACGTTTCTCGGTTTTTTAGAAGAAAATGCGAAAGAAATTAAATAAGCTGGAGGAATTATTTTTAAAAAATCGATTCGCAGAAGTGATCTTCTGATGTGTCGAATATTATATATTTTAACAAAAAAATATATACAACTTGATGAAGTTTTGTTTGGTAATTTCGAATATCACCGATATTGAAAACAATTGATTTGCTCAACAAAAAAACAATATTTTCTCAGATCAATACGAACCATTTTTCTTCTCTCGAATGGTGTATTAAAGTTGAAGACATATTAAACAATGAAATATTCTTGTAACTACATGATTCTACTTTTTGTGTACTCAAAAAGTGAGCACACTCTAGAATCGGTCAGTATGTCCGGCCGGCCGTATACACGATAACTTTCGAAAGGAGAGTCCGATCACGATGAAATTTTCTACACAGTTCAGTCTTAACA